GAGGAGGTTGCCTCATGTGTGTGTAAGTGCAGATGCAGTCAATAGCAAGGAGGTCTACAGAGGCTGAGGATCACGGACGTTCTTCAGAACATGACACAACGCCGATGCGCTGCCGCTCTGGATGGCCAATCGAAGAGCATACACAAACCTATTGGGGCACTGACACCTACCTGGTTGCTTTTGTCTAGGTTTTGGTAAGTTTGTGACACAAGTATGTGGACACATCAAGACATTGCAGGGATGAAGGGAACCCTCCAGGAAGAGCTGCTTCGTTTCTGACAAATGAATTCCACCAAGGGGGGTTTTGGGAAGGGTGTTCGCTGGAACCAAGGCCAGGCAATAAACTCCTACTTGATGAATACTATCAATTGCCTAGAAAAAGTCAAACCAACAACAGCAAACAATTATAAACGGAAACATTTGCTATGTGCTTATACTGTAAAAAATATTGTTTACAACAGGTAAAAATATGTGCATCACTCAAAGGACCCCAAGTATAAAACGAGGGTGTATTGTTTTACTTAATGTGAGATCAAGGATAACTTGAAAATGAATAATTTACCTAGGACTTGTGGCATACCATACCACCCACTACCATCCGTTCCATTCCAGTTCACAGTGACCCTAGGGGGCACTTTGGGGTTTTGAGATTGAGTCTTTATGGGGATAGACCCCTCTGCTTCCTCCCAAAGAGTGGCTGGTGGGATTAGGGTTGAACCACCAAATATGTGATTAGTGGCCCATTGCTTAACCCATGACACATCCTTGTGGAATACAATAAATAAGACAAAAAGAAAATCTGGTTAAAAAAATACATCCTCAAAATCCTAACAGGAAACTGTAGCTTGTGACCTTGCCAACACGCATGGTGGGAACCCTGTCGCAAATGCTAATCACCCATCTTGGTCTTTTTAGCTAGTGTCCTGGAACACACAATAAAAATTTCACCCTTGATGTAATTTCTGACCAAATGGAGTGAAAGTCAAATGAAAACCATGTGGACAAACCTACAGGTGACAAGGGCCAGGCAGTCATCTTAAACGAATATGGGACTCAGGAAGAAAGAGAGAGGATTAAACGCTTCGGAGTCAAGGAAAGAATCACCTGCAGAACCCTGCTCATCCACTGGAAGCTGTCCTCCTCCGTGGAGTCTGGCCGCTGCTCGGCCACAATGACTATCCGCTCATCGTGCAGGACGGTCACTGAGAAGACAGCGATCCTGTGGGAACCGATGAGAAACGCAGCCCGTCAGCACACGCTGCAGAGGGCCAGCAGAAAGGTCTATTTCTGCGTTACAGAATTCTCATAACCGTTATTAATGAATGCCCCTAAGAGCACAGCTCCAACTCCCACTTCAAAAAGGAACTCTGCAGTGTCACACTCCCACACTCATCATTTAAGAACAGCCCTCGGGGAGGGGGGCGGGGGTGGGGACAAACCTGAAGGTGCCGCAAAGGCAAACTCACCCCTCCTTGCACTCTGAGGCTGCCTACAGCAGCCCTCAAGTTTTGCTGACAAGTTTTACATCTCTTAGTACAGACGGGAGGAGCCAGTGTCTAAATACTCCTATCAGAACTGCCGGCAGTAGCTGTGCTAAAAATTAGAAAATCATACACTTCGAATCTTGAATTTGCACCTGTGAAGAAATTCTCTCCAGACAGGCAGACTTTTTCTCTCTGAGAACTAAAGGTTCTCGTGAAACAGATCTATCTGGGTTTAGAGGAAGGATAGAATTGCAGCACTCTAATAACTCCACCATGGCCCCTTTCACAAAGAGATTGGAGTTGTAAAAATGATTTAAAGGTGGAAATTCTATGTCTAAATATTTACTTTCCCGTTTCCTTGACAAAGTTAAGGCTTTTAAGCTGTTTATAACTCCCATCCAATGAGCAGGAACTCAGAAGCTGCACTATTGTAACTAGTATGTCCTGAGGAGCTCCTACATGGTAAACAAAGGTGGGAACAGAATCCGGAAGAAGTGAGCCACCAGAGTCAGTAAGTAAAAATGAACTCTGATCTTTTCATTCAGGGCTCAGGGCCCAAACCTTGAGTCTTCTGTTCTGAACCAAGATGTATACTTGGCTTTTTTATCTTTTCTTTACAGTTACTGGTAAGTATGTTAATCGTTTTAAAATTTTAATTCAGAGGGATCAGAACAATTATAATATATTTGGGGCTAAACAAATTCCTACAAAACCATGTAAGTTTAGAACTAGACGAAATGTCAGAGAGCATTGAGAATCACTACTTCCTTGTAGATAAGAGGAAACTAAGTCACATAAACGAAACTGATACAAAATGAACTGATACAAGTTTTAAATTACTCCTAATTTTATTTAAAAGTACTATCCACTACAAAGGTACATTTAGCTTAAAGACAAACACCACTGACCTTCCTCTGTAAACAAATTTCATTGGTTCCACTGCCAGTGCTGTTGCCACAATGTCATCGGCGTTGTGTCTTCGTCCGCTGACCACCATCAAACCATCCATTTTACCCACCACGAAGACAAGTCCTCCTGGACCAATAAATCCCAGCAAGCCTGTCCTTATGAAAGGGTACTCACTGATTGGAGCCCCTGAACTTGTCATAGGAAACACCTATGAGGAAATCAGACATGCTTTGAAGTTAGGACGGCCCTTCCTCTTGTTGTTACCGGTGCGAAACATGTAATCACAAAACGTAACATCTGACTGCTCCCAAATAATACTGTTTAAAATCAGTGCATGAAAACAAGATAATAAGAACTCCCAAACAAAAGTTATTTAAGGAACACTCTTGAGAAGTTTTTAGGTCTTTGTCTCCCAAAGACTGAGTGCATTGCCATTAGAGAGAGAGAAAGAGAGAGGGGACATTTACTCTTTTTCTACACGTTGCACGACCTGGTAGCATGACAGTCTTCAATAATATCAGAGAATAATAAGACTGTAGGTTAAAAGGTCTCTGGTTCACAGTTCCATTCAATGAAAAAAAAAGATTGGGGAGGGGGTATTCTACTCTACACCACTCCTGTTCTCTCTGTCTGAAAGCCTTCAGAAATAAGAAATTGATCTACATTGCTGGTTCTAATAATTTATTATTATTAGATATAATAGTTATAGTTTTTTTTAAGTTGGGTACACGGAGCCCTTCCTGCATATAGAGGAGGCCCATCTCCTGCAGATTTATACACACAAAAGAATTGCTTGAAATGTAAAACTCTCAGGCTGAAGCCCAGTAACTCCTCATATTCTAAACTCATGTGACTAAGTATCTCAAGCAGGAGAAAGTTTCTGGTGAAGTATTTTTAGTTTTTAGATGCAGAACTGGAGAAAATTCTAGTTTCTTAAGATCCATCCACCTCCTTTGTGTCGATCTTTGATTCGAAGCCAGATCACTAGCTAGAAAACTCCAGTAGCACCCACTAGCCAGTCTACATTTTTTCCTGGATCAAGGTAATCTCGTATTTTGCTGGGTGTTGTTGAGCTGACTCCGCCTTTTTTGGACCCCAATGAGAGTCAAGGGGGGTTCAAAGTGCCAGCATTTGTGTCACCAGGACTCCTTCAACTCACTTTCAATCTGTGAAAAACACACTCGTTCATTTCTTCATGGAGTCATTTCCCCCAAGATTGTACTTAGATGTCATTCTGTTCCTCCTCCCCCCTACCCCCATGAAAACTGTACGAAACAGATTTACTACTTTTCATTCTGTATACAGGTAGTCTCTGGTCGATGACAGGCAGGTTTCTGTTTCAATGACGCCACTATAGGTAGGATTCTGATACAAGTCACATCATTTTTCGTTACGGTTAGTTTTATTGTTGATTTTTATTATCAGTACCTTTATGAATCTGGTTTTTGTTCACTGGTAACAGTCTCAAAGAATATACTTGGGGTGTAGATAAAAATGGTGTTGGGGAGTTTTGTGCCTCATCATAAAATGGCGACATAAAAATGACGGTGGGACGTTCAACTGTCCACCTGCAGCAGCTTCACTGGAGCCTATCACGGAACCGCGATTTGAACGTAGATTACAACACTGATCATCTGAGAACGATGCCATCAGCAATTGGATAGTGCCATGGTATACAGAAATACCTTGCTTATTATGCTTTGCAAATACTGCGTATTTTAAAATAGAAGGTTTGTGCAACCGTATAATCAATCACATCTAGTAAACCGTCTTCCAACAGCACATGGTCACTTCATGCCTGTGTGTCGCATTTTAGTAATTTTCACAGTATTTCAAACTTTTTCATATTGCTATTGCATTTAATAAACTATAGTACATGTAAATATCTTTTACATGCACTGGGAAACAAAAATTTTTACAACTTGCTTTATTGCGAATATTAGTTTTATCGTGGTGGGTCTGGAACTGAAGTAGCTATAGCTCCAAAGTATAATTGTTTGTGGTGTATATTATTAACAATAAGATGTGCTGAAAACAAACAAAAGCACCAGACAGTCATAAGTGCAGCATACTGTGACGCAACACATCCTAAGTCAGAGACTACGTGTATAATGGACTGGATAGATTTTCTTTTAAAATTCAATACTAAAATGAAGTGGGAGAATGGATGACTTCATTCATGTAGCTCCTATTTGTCTTAAAGAGGATGATTCTTCTTTGTGCTTCCCCCTTTAAACTGGCTGCCAGGAAGCTCAGCATAAAATGGTTAATGATTTACTTTCTACTCTTTGCTTTTAATAGTTACAACTTCATTATATGTTTCTTTTCTTAATAGGTTACTATTACTCTTTTGTAGAGAAACATGGAGGCAACAAACACAAGTAAATCGATACTTTTGAGGAGCAATTAATTTAGTGGCAGAAACTGTGAACACCTGGGTCTCTTAGTTCCAAGTCCTTTCACGTTAGTGCTTTGCTAACATAAACTCTCATTGAAGGCACAAGTCAGCATACAATGAGAGCTATGCTCAGTTAGGCAATTCAGTGCAGTGATGGTCTAGATTTCTGAAAAGAATGCCCCGTGAGTCAACATTCAAATGATTCTAGTAAGAGAATATGCATCCTTCAGGCTTTAGTCAGGCCTGATATGAAGGTGCATTTCCTAAATGTAAAATTTACAAATGAGAAACTTTGGAACCGAATCACCCACATCAGAAACTTGTTCACTCATAATTGCTAGTATTTATTTAAGGATGATACCACACATACGTGGAGTTCATCCAATCATTTAAATCATATACCACTCCTTTTTGTAGTGAACTGGAATCAGCTTTTCTTTAACTTCGTCAGTAGTACTTCTCTGGAAACAGAGGCAAAGGCAAGTTCTATTTGCAGAAGTTCTACAGATGGTGAAAAGGAGTAATTGTCCATCACATCTCACGCCTACCCTTTTGCTAGAGATGATTTGTTTCTACACCTCTGATAATTATATGGGCACCACCCATTAGTTTCCTACAAATGGATCTCTTTCTCTTTTTAGTTTGGAAAAGGTATTTTGAGATGTCATACTCAGAAATGATTATAATATACTAATACATGCTAATCAACTACTTTGTTTACAAAGCCACAGCATAAAAGCAATAGATGAATCAATACCCATTTTAAATAACATGTTAGTTGTAAAATAACTGATCCCAGTTCATTAAAATGTTCTTTTTTCTTATTAAAAATACACTGAAAAGAAAAATATGAAACAAACCAAATTAATTCCAACTCTAAACTTGATGCTTTTCTGATTAATAATATAGAAATGGAAATGTGATTTTTATTGAGACCTATCTCTAATTCTAGTTTCAAGGTACATTTTCGCAGGTTGAATACAAATTCACAAAGCTGGCACACCCCATGCCACAAAAGATTCCACAGATAAGGCATCATAACACATCTATTCAATCCCATTCAATGTTGTTACTCAATAAACTAAACTCACTGCCATCGAGTCAACTCTGACTCACAGCAACCCTATAGGACTGAGTAGAACTGCCCTGTGGGTTGCTGAGACTACAACTCTTTTTAGGAGTAGAAAGCCTTGTCTTTCTCGAAAATGTTAGTAAGCATTTTAACTATTTTATCCTCAATTTAGTTTCTGAAACATAATTTATAAAATATTGTGTTGCCACAACACCCACTCAACTACTGACATAGGTTACAAAGACCACGTTGCTATTAAAAAATAATTCCCATTTTGTAAAAAATGAAAGGTGATCACAACAGATCACAAAATGGAGGATGACTACATTATGACATAACTGCCAAATTACATCACTATATAATTGCCAAACCACGGAGAATCATGGCCTAGGCTAAATTGACCCATCACCTCAACCAGCGGAGCCACCATGACTCTGGCCACCACTCTGGGGTTCAACATTGCCAGATGTACAGCACTAATGCACACAACAGTCAGAGAGTTAACGTTTTTTACTGTTGTTTCATTATATGAAATGTCAAATGACAAGAGAGTCAATAAGTGAGAAGTAGGTGTACAATCAGGCACAATTTCATAAAACAATAAAAATTCTAAGAAAAACACTGTGGTTCAAGCATTGATGACCCCAGTCCTACAGATTTAAAATTCTTTAGCTTCTTTGCCTCCTCTCTGTCACATCAGCACACACACATATACTTGCTCACACCGGCTAGACAAATATTTACTGTATGTCTGTTTAAGTTATTCACTGGGCTCACATCTAACCAAGTGTTTGCTAGCTTGGGCCGAAGGTCCTCACAGGTCTGTGACAGCCACTCCTCTTCGTCAGCCTGTTCATCTGCACTTACATGTGGGTGTGCCTTCATTCAGCTCCCAGCCAGGTTCTTAGGAACTATGGCTGGACATGCAGGCTAGGAGCTCTGAGCAGAAACATATTGTCTCTCCTCGTTCTTCCTCCAACTCCTCAGGGTTCACACAGCACCCACCTTGACTTATTATGTAAAGGTGAAAACAATACTCAGAACTCAAAAATGTCCATTTTAGGAAACTGCACTTACTCTTTTCTGAAAGTGTTACAAGGTCAGAGCCATGGAGGTCAAGTGAATGTCCTGAAAACTCTAAGATATGGCAGGAGGAAGTGCAACCACGTAATTCAGATGAACAGGACTCATTTTAAAATCAGAATCTTGTTTTCCTGGCTATTATTTTTACACCTGGAAATGGTTGTTTGAAAATGAAACCACAGACTGGAATCAGATCAGAGGGCTCTTTCCATCCACATACCTCAAAGGTGTTCTTGGTCATGCCTGAGAGGCCATAATAGGATGTACCTGTAGCAATGGCACACACACAGAGCTCGCCAATTTCATCTGTCCTACATAGTTGAGGAATTCCATCCGGCTTCACGGAACACATGATGGCTGAAAGTGAAACCAGAAAGTGCAAGTAATACGACAGAAAAAGTGAGAATCTGAGTGAGAACACGAGTTAACGGGAACCGGGTCTAGAACAAAGCCATGCTGTGCCAGACACTCATTTTTCCTAAAAGAAGTTGGGATTTTTAATTCAATTACAAAAATTTTTTTCAAATGCGAATAATTAATTGCTTTCATTTTAATGTGTGAATTATATTTAAGGGGAATGAGAATTTCTCTTCCTCAGATGTGAGGAAGATACTTTGAAATGAATCTAAGGGTCAATTGTCACACAGGTGGTATGCACGAACCAGCAGCAGAATGCACAAAATTCACAGAAAATAACAAATACTCACTTTATAGTCTTTCAAAGGTTTGCTAAATTTATAGCAGCGTTTACGTCTCAAGTGTTCTACACAACTCTTTATCTGTTACCGTTAGAGTAGATCCTTCAGTGTATTAGTTGACTGATTCAATCACAAAATAGTTTTAGCTCCTACTGTAATGATGCTGAATTCTGACTAGTCTGTAGCACAAATGCTTTGATAATTTTTCATAATGCGTATCTCACCCCTACCAACCACTGCACATTATATATGTGGTCAGGGACCCAAGAGTGTAGAATTTCAGTGGATGGCTTGGTATCAGCTCAGTGCATTCATTTATCGATAGCTGAGCATTTTGGGAAAGAAAGCCCCAAACTTCTAATCCAGCGGTTCTCAACCTGTGGCTCGCCACCCCTTTGGGGGTCAAACGACCCTTTCCCAGGGGTCACCCGTTTCATAACAATAGCAAAAGTACACTTATGAAGTAGCAACGAAATAATTTTATGGTTGGGGCGGGGGGCATCACCACACCATGAGGAACTGTATCAAAGGGTCGCGGCATTAGGAAGGTTGAGAACCACAGTTCTAATCAAACCCGCTCTTGCCTACCCTGTTGGAATTCAAAGCCACAAGAAGTATGATGTCTAAAAAATAAAACCAGCCAAAATGTATGAAAGGTGCCAATCTCAATTCAGAGTAAGAATAATTCAAATTTAAACTACACTGATTCAGTTTTTACTGATCAGATTGGCAAAATAACTAAGCCTTCAAGACACCTGGGGTAAGGAGTAGAACATGAATCACTTTTATCCACGGCTAGTTGATGTATAACCTCTTTGAAAGACAACTTCGTACACGCTAACCACATTAGAGGAACATATTCCACTGAGGACAGAAATCTCATTTTCCCCCCATTAAATAGTTTTTACACAAATGTGGGATGGAGCACAGACACTGTTACTCACGACAGCACTGCTTTGTAGCAAAGGATGGGAAACAATTCACAGGGGCACTGCTTACATAAATTACTACGCAGTCTAACACCATACCATCTTAAAAGGAATCAATCACGTCTGAGTAAACAGCTAAGACTTTGCTTTATGGTACTGTTCTGGGTTCCACAGGGCTTGTATTTAAAATGAGTAAATCATAAATGGCAGCTCTGAGCCAAGCTTGTCTGTAGGGGCGTGGTGCAGTATAATGCCCCCCGCCCCCCTTTGTTTCTCTGTGTCACCTGTGGGTGATTCTCACAATGTTTCAAGAAATTTTATCATGTGGTTGTGCACTTCACAGACTGTATTATAGTATAAACAGAACTTTGAGAAGCCCCGGGAAACAGACAAACACACACACATTGCGTGGCTCACTGCATTGCAGCGGTCTGGGAGGAACCCTGCGGCGTCTCTGAGGCAGGCCTGGACTGCTAACAAAGGAGCTTCGAGACAGAGATGTGCTTGGAGCTCTACCACGATGCTAAATGGAAAACACAGTAAAGACAAAGACATGCACACATGTGTCGGGGGATGCGTGCATCCATTTGCAGCGTTCCAAAATATTTTTGAACAAAAATACAGGATGCTTTTGGTTGTTTCTGGTAATTGGAAAGCAGCTCTTCCATCGCACAAACTTTGAAATCTGGTATTTTGAATCTTGAAAATGTAGAATTTATTTCATTTTGAATGAAGAATGCTGAGATTGGGCTCTTTCTCTTTTACATGCAAACAAGGCAGGCAGAAAGCACAGTCGTTCCAGAAAACGCTCAGAGCCATCCTGTGGCATCAGCATGAAGCACAGGGAGGCTGGATTTGATACTCCTTCCTGGAAGCTTCACTTGCTGCTCCTTCAAGAAGCAGATGCACGTGTCGATGGCCCATCAATTCTCCTCCACTTCTCATGCAGGAGTGGCTGCTGGATTTGTGTGTTTTGATGAGACTGTCCTGCTATCTGAGTGAGACCATTCCAGGTGAGGGAATCCTGGACTGAGAACAGAACTTGCCTTTTTGGGAGGTTGATGGTAAGGAAGTATTTGTTTGCTTGTAGAGGGACAGAGGAATCCAGCAATGTCACTGCACAAGAGAAGATAGACTGCTCTCTTATACACCAGCACTTTGTGGAGCCCCATTCCCCCAC